GCTCGTCACATGGTCACCTAGGCAAGTGCCTTAAATAAAAATTAAGGATCCTAGAGTAATTACCTAAGTTTCATAGTAACCACTAACCAGCAACCTTCATAAAAAATTTTAAAAAAATGTATGAACTTTGTATTAAAACATAGAACATCAATATATCCACAAGAAAGAAAAAGAAGAAAGAAAGGACAATAGAGAAAATACAAGGGCTGAGCCTCCATTTTGGTCCTAGGAAAAGAACAAAAGGGTATAAGAAGAAGAATGTGCCAATTGGACAAAACTTCAAGTTCTCCCTTGCTTATCAATTTAGATTTTGAAGTTCTCAAGGGTTCAACACATCATACACCAACATGTGTGTTGATTGAACCCTAACAAATAAGAAAATGATAAAGAGAAACTAGTATATAAAACCTACGAAATGAACAATTTAGTTTAATAAATATGTACTTTATTATTGTACAATATAATCTAAAAAATAAAGAATATACAAAATAGTTCACAGTGCCATGTAAGAAATAGCATGGCATTTAAGAATTATGACTTCAAAGCCTCTAGTCTTCTCCTTCATCTTTTCTTTTCTTCTTTTCCTATAACAAAAATAGGGGGTTCAGCCCCTATATTTTTTGAATTTTCTTTTCTTTCTTCATTTTCTTTTCTAGAATATGTTGATTTTCTATACTTTCACATGAACTTTATACTTTTCTTATGAAAATTATGGACAATTATTAAGGAAATATGGTTGTGGAACATAGGGAACTACCCTATGCTATACATTTTTTTCTTAAAAAAAAATCCATCACCTAGGCAACGCCTAGGCACCCCCTATCGCCTAGCCTCGCCTTGGAACCTTGAAAACTATGATCAAACTCCCACATGCAGAGAACATCAACAGTAAGTAGAAAGGTTACTCCTCTGGGTGATTATTTACCAATTCAAGCAGTCCATGGGAAACAAAAAAAATGAAATCACTGATAGGAAATTTAAGGAAAAGAGCATACCAGATAAAAAGGACAGAGTCACCAGCAACAAGTCTTTTTGCACTTACAAACACACTCCAACCTGTTGTAAGAAGATGCCTCTTGGGCTGACCTGCATTAGAAGTGAAATCAACTAATGAATATTTGTTTCTCTCTTCTTTACAAACCCACCACCTTCCTTTTTTGATTATTGAAGTTTGCATTGTTTTCTACAGCATAGTGAACATAAGAGAAGCGGTCACTGAATGATATAGCCAAGGCAAAGAAAGAGTTGGAATACCATTGGCATCATAAGATTACCAAGTGTCTGAGATTTGTAGATGAGATTCATGACAACAGGAAAACGGTTATTGCTCATTATTATTTCAAGAAGTATGCTTATTGCTCTTTACTATGTAACTAAGGTTAATGAAATTAAGGATATATATTTTCTAAATATGCAACTGCCAAAGATTTACATGAATATCTTTTAGTCATTCATGTCCTAAGCAGTGTTTTAGAAAGAAAGTGATACCTTTCTCAGCCTTTTGGCTAAGATCGAGTTTTAGAAAATGCACCTAGGTTCATAGGTGATGATCATTTTGCAGGGAACGCATGACCTGAACCTAGGAGGATCCAGTGCCTGATGTAATGATAAAATCTCAGGCTGAGAAGAGTGAGAACGCAGGTTTAGGTCTGAGAACAACTACTATATATAAAACAAAGGTTGGGTCCAAATCCGGTCTACCCACCTCTCCCAAAAGCCAGAACAATGTTGGGCAATGGGCCTAATGGCCCCACCTTACCTAGTGAGAGTCCCACCTGGCTTGCTATTGTAGCTTGATGAATTAACTTTGATAAGAGCACTTCATTTTCTCCCTTATAGTTTTTCTTGAAAGTTGTATGGTATGAGAATATTCCAGAAATAATGGCACCAACATCTTAAAAAGCACAAGATTTTTTAATTGTTCAAAACCACACAATATTTACATGGAAATTTAAGCTGAATTGCTGTGGTCCAATTGGAATTGGCGACTCCATTAATGCTGAATTGCACTCACATAAGGGCTGGGTGTAGCTGTGTGTTTAGGCTATAGAGAGCTTGATATTGAAGGAAATCAAAGGTTGTAATTGGATGGTTGAAAGGTAAGTTGCTTGTAATATACACCCCCAGCACAGGGAGGCAAGTTCTTCAGCATCCAGGTTGAGCATCTAGTTTAAATAGGTCAATGGAAGTACAAATTCCTCTGCTGGTTCCCTTGCAAGGGAAGATGTTAAACAGGATTTGTCCATATTGGGAGGCATCTGACTTGGAAAGCAGACAACTCTAATAAAAAGAATGCTGAACTCTGGTATACATACACCGATACACACACAGACTCAGATTTATAGGAACTAATAAGAAATACTTTAGAGGAGGCCTAAGGGTTTGTTAGAGCTATTAAATAGGATTAATTAGGACTAATAGGACCTCAAGAGTTGAAGTTCAGAAAATGTAGATTCTCTCAGGTCAGAAAAATTTGAGAAAACTAAAATCAAACTTAAGAATGAATTTTATGACAAAATTTTGCAGAGATAATTATAAACACAAGGTGTAGGAAAAGAATATAGAGTTTCTAAGAAGGTTTGGCACAAATGGGAGAAGTGGGGAATAAACACCAGAAAACTGAAGTTGTTATACATAATACATATACACACACATATATATATATATATATATAAAGGGCAGCCCAGTGCACAAGGCTCCGGCCAATGTGGGGTCTGTGGAGGGACAGATGTATACAGTCTTACCCTTGCAAATACAGAGAGGCTGTTTCCAATATTTGAACCCTGGTCACCCAGGCCGCAATGGAGCAACCAAAACATTGTGCCAAGCCCCACCCTATACAAACATACAGTCACACACATACATATATATACATGTATGTATGTATGCATGTATGTATATGTATATTATGTATGTACGAGGGGCTACTGCCAGGTACAATGGTAAAATCTTGAGCTGGCATACATGAGAACGAGGTTTCAATTCTATTCAATTAATTGTGGTCATATCTATACTTCAAAAATATTGTAATTGTTATCATAAATCTTACAGAAAGTTGAAATGAATCATGAATCTTATCATAAATCATAAGATTATTAATTTTTTTACAAACCTGTCAAAAAAATGAAAAACAAATATTACTAAGAAAGATAAACGTATATAGAAAAGAGATATTTCCCTATTTATTTTAATCCATATTTAGCATTTGTGTGCTTAAAAGTTAAAACAATAAAACTTACCACTTCTACACTAGAAGACGATATAATCAACCTCCATTTGAAAGTCAATTAATCCACATACAATTGTATAAATCATAAAATTCATGAACCAAATCATAGGATTCAAATGATAATCATACAACTTTACGGAAAAGGTTTCAGACATACAAGCAGTCCAAAATTATCCAGAATACAACAAAAAAAACCCAACTCCAACCCAGTAGTTCCACCAGCAATAAAATATTAACATCTCAATACTTGAAAAATGTTACTAACATGAATAAGTTGCCTCAAGAGACAAGAGTGGATGCTACACACATTTTAAAAACCAAATAGATAAATTTCAGATTTAAGAGTTCACCAGACATGTAAGCATAAAACAGCAGGAGTGACAAACAAGAAAGTTCACAAATAGAATCATTTTCTAATAGTATCAGAAAACTAACCGCGAAAAATATGTCTGAATTTCCATTCATTATCATGGAGATCCCTTGCAATCAACTCTTGAGCAGGAGGTTGCTGGGAGAAGTCCTAAAGTAGTGATATACAATAGTCATGAGACCAGCTTAGATGATAAAACATGCATGGAAAACTTCAAAAATATATCAAATATAACCTACCAGTGGGGGGAAGACTTTTTCAGCTGCTCGGCGAGGCACAGAGAATCCTCCATGAGTACTAGTGTCACTTGCAGTCAATGTCTTGCAAAAATAGTTTGTTGGCTGTTTGCTGGGTGTACCCAATTCAGCAGGTAGGTATGCATCCTTTTGCTCTTGCTAAAGAAAGGTCAAGAGAAAAGGTAAATGAATGTGCACAGGCCAAAAAAAAAAAAAAATCATGAACAGAAATCAAGACAAAGGATGTTACCAGACTCAGCGGTTGCAAGGTCATCTGAGCATATACTTCATCAGTCTCCACATCTGCCTGAATTTGACAAATTTTCAAATTTTAAAGAGCAGGCTTTAAGAATATCCAGAAACAATAGTTCAGCAGAACAGAACTTACATGCATGGTCACATTGTGAAGCTGACAGATTAGCTGTGGTGGTAAGTTTGGGTAATTAGGGATATGGGCATCCACCTCCTTGTTGGTAGATGCAGCCACCTGCATGGGACCAACAACAATTTTCTCAGTATTTAACATTAAAGAGGTGGACTTAAATTACCAATGAGACATTCTGTAATATTAGCGTGACTTTCTTGAGTAATATATAAGGCAATGCCATAATGATGTACGAATGGCCATAAGCTTTTGAATGTAGAATTAGTGTGTGGATAGAAGAGCAGTCTTTGCAGGGTTGTTATCCTGATGAAATGAATATAGGCATGAAATAAACAGTAGAAAAAGTAGAGTAAGATGAGCCTTAAGCTCAAGCTAGGGAATTGTCACTATAAGAAGTTGGTCAAATAGAAAATGGAACTTAGAAAGTGCATACAAACATGGAACTCTGACCTGATTACTTCCAGCACTATTCAAGGATTGCAAATGCAAAAACTGCATACATACATGCATATAGAGACAGACATGGATAAAAAATATCACACATACATCAATGTTTCTTTCCATAATAAACAAAATACATATAAACCAGCAGGCAGCTAGGAAAAATGCTGCTTTGTCATAAATCCTAACAATTCAGCAACGATCTTGCCCCAAACAAATGGAAATTATTAATATTGACACCAATCTATTCTTTTTTTTTTTCGATTTCCTACCAATCTATTCATATTCCATCAGATAGGCAATGAC